GTGGGGACTCTTTCTTCCCCTACATGCTCTTAAACTAAACTCCTTCTTGAAACCTTTTAAGCCAGTTACTTCATGCCTTTATCATCCCCTCATGTTAGGTAGCCAATATCTAAGTTGCCTGTCCCTATATACCCTGTGTACAGAGGGGATAGCATTGATACTTGATGTGAAGACTCCTTGCCTCTCTGTTATTATTTAGAGCTACTACCTCCATGAATATGGAGTCCTGGTGTGGCGCTGTGGGTTAATGCGCCAGATTGAAAAGCCGTTTGAACTGCAAGGTTGGTGGTTCAAGCTCACCAGCTGCTCCTTGGAAACCCTACACAGGGTCACTATGGGTCGGAACTGACTCAATGGCACTTAAAAACAACAATAACCTCCATGAATATAGGTAAAGTTCATCAAATTGTAGCAATTTACCCTCGTTTCCTTTATCAAAAATTGTTTTGTTTTGTTTTTTATCTTCCTCTAGTTGAGTTCTGATTATCAAGCCATCGAGGCTAGGTCAAATGGGTACTAGCTGCAATTTTGGGTGTTCTTGTGCATCTCCCCTCACTTCATATCAGCTGGATGCTTCACTCTCACCCTCTGTCCGCCTCCATTTTTGATGTCTACATTGCCCATCCCTACTCGATGGCACTTAACAACAACAATATCAACCCAGTGTACTGAGGAAACAAGCTTATACCTTGATATGAAGAATCCTTCCATTCCAGTTGGAATTTTGGGCAACTGCATCCATAGGCAAAAGTTCATCGAATTGTAGCAATTTGCACTTGCTAACAGTATCCAACATCTTGATCTTCATCTGGTATAGTTCTTGTTAGCTAGCCATCCAAGCTAGGTCAATGAGTATTAGCTACAAGTTTGGGAGTTCATGCACTCCTCCCTGCATTTTAGACCAACTGGCCACTTCAGTCTCAGCCCTAGTTCTTAGGAGGTAGAATAATCCACATGGGCTCAAGAGTTCATATATCTTCCTAAACTTCAGACCAGCCACCCCTTCCTCTTCTCTCTCTCATCTCAAGGTCAACAGGTGCCAATGGAACATGGTCAAACTCAGCCATGTCTTCATTGCTGCATTTCTCCTACTTCCACTCACAAGTAGACCAGGGTAGTCATCAGTGAGTGTACTAAACTGCTCATAGATTCCCTTAAGTTTCAGTCCTAGGAGGGGGTTTTCCATATTGGGCTGACTTTCTTTGCTTTGATGCCTCTGAAGCAAATAGTTTACTTGAAATTCAAAGAGTCAGTTTGCTTTTTTTCTGCAGGTCTTTCTTTCAATAAAAATATTCTGTTCTTGTTCTCCCAGCAGTTCTGGGTTGCTTTGCATGTCATTTCAAGTGGGAACATCCCAACTCAGAAGGTTCTGGGTGGAGCTCAAGAATTCCACCCAAGACCTCATATTTAACAAGGCTTAACTAGAAGCATTTGTTACCGGACCAATTCTAACTTCCCTTCTAGCAAGTTCAATCAGTTATAGGCTGAAGTCAGGCTTGCAAGCTTTCTGTAATCTTAATTCCCAATATTCATTTCCATCACACGTGATTGTCTATTTTATAATAGTAGGCAGGGGAAACCAATATCCACAAGATAGTCAAACACATAAACATTTTTCTTCTCCTTTACACATTCAGCTTATGTCTCACTCCATGTATCTACACACAGAACACTGTTGTTCCAATGTTGTGTATAAATCACTGTTTACCTCTATCCCATTTAGCCCATGCATACCCCCATAAGTCTTCCCTTATCTTCATTGTTCATCTGCCACCCTCCCCCTTCTTATGTGTTGTCCTTCCCTTGTGTCTACCCCCCTATCTTGTGAATTACTCTCCTCTCCCTCTCAACCCTGGTAACTATCAAAGAATGTGTCTTTTTCGTTTGAGAACCTTTTCTTAAGCTTTTATAATAATGGTCTTATACAATGTTTGTCCTTTTGTAATTGACGAATTTCATTCAGCGTTATGTCCTCCCGGTTCATCCAGGTTGTGAGGTGTTTGCAGATTTATATTATTCTTCAAGGTTACATCCATTGTGTGTGTATACCAAAGTTTGTTTATCCATTCTTCCATTTTTAGACTCTCTCCATCTTTTTGCTATTGTGAATAGTGCTGTGAGGAAAATTGCAGTGCATAGATCTGCTCGTGTCCTGACTTGTATTCTTGTGGGGAAATAGAGGTATTGCTGGGTCATCAGGAGTCCTGGTGTGGTGCTGGGGGTTAATGCGCTAGACTGCAAACTTGGTTTGAACCATAAAGTTGGCAGTTAAAGCTCACCAGCCACTCCTCAGAAACCCAATACAGGGTCACTATGGTTCAGAATTGACTCGATGACATTTAGCAGCAACAAGAAGGTATTTCTAGTTAGAATTTTCTGAGGAAGCACCATACTGTTTTCCAAAGCAGCTGAACCATTTTACAGTTCCACCAGCAATGTAGAACGGTTCTAGTCTCTCCAAACCTTTGCCAGCCTTTGTTGTTTTCTGTTGTTGTTGTTATAACTTCACTGTTAATGCTGGTGTGAGATAATATCTCATTGTTTTGACTTGCATCTGTCTAATGGCTAATGGCTAATAGGAGTCTGGTGTGGTGCTGTGAGTTAATACGCCAGACTGCAAAGCCATTTGAATTGCAAGGTTGGTGGTTCAAATTCACCAGCTGCTCCTTGGAAACCCTATACAGGGTCACTATGGATCGGAACTGACTCGAAAGCACTTAACAACAACAAATGGCTTATGATCATGAACATTTCTTCATATGTTTGTTGGATGCCTGAATGTCTTCCTTGGTGAAGGTCTGTTAATGTCCTGTGCCCATTTTTTCAAATTGTCTTTTTCCTGTAGATGCAGATTTCTATAAGTTTTAGATATTAGCCCCTTGTCTCATATGTCATTGCAAAAAGATTTTTCTTAGTCTGTGGGCTCTCTTTTTACTTTCTTGGTGAAATCTTTTGATGTATGTTAAGTGTCTAATTTTTAGGAGGGCTCATTCATCTATTTTGCCTTCTACTTTGTGTGTTTTGCAATGTTTGATAGTATATATATGCCATGTATTAGAGCCCCTAAGTTTGTCCCTATTTTTCATTGATGATCTTTATAGTTCTATGTTTTACAGTTAGGTCTTCAATCCATGTTGAGTTAGCGTTTGTATATGGTGTGAGATATGGGTCTTGTTTCATTCTTTTGCAAATTGGTTTCCAGTTATGCCAGCACAATTTGTTGAAGAGACTAACTCTCCATATAATGTGTTTTGGCCCTTTGTCAAATATCAGTTGTGTGTATGTGGATGGATTTACTCTGGGTTCTCAATTCTGTTTCATTGATCTGTGTACCTCTCACTGTACCAATACCAGGCTGTTTTGACCACTGTGGCTGTGTATGAAATTGAGAGATCAGGGAGTGAGTAATCTCCAACTTTGTTCTTCTTAAGCAGTGCTCTACTTTCCAAGGTCTCTTTCGTCTTCATATAAAGTTGGTGGTCATTTTTTCCATCTCTTTAAAGAGTGATGTTGAAATCTAGATTGGGATTGCGTTATTTCTGTAGATAGCTTTAGGTAGTGTTGACATTTTCACACTGTTAAGTCTTCTACCTACGAGCATGCTATATTCTTCCATTCTTGTAAATCTCTTTTGGTATCTTGTAGTAGTGTTTTGTAGTTCTCTTTGTATAGGTGTTTTGGTTAGATTTATTCCTAAGTATTTCATCTTTCAGGTGGCTATTATAAATGGTATTGTTTTCCTAATTTCCTTTACAGAACTATCTTTATTAGTATGTTGTTGTTAAGTGCCGTAGAATCAGTTCAGACTCATAGCAACCCTGTACAGGGTTTCCAGGAAGCAACTGGTGGGTTTGAACTGCTGACCATTTATTTGCATAGAAAAAAGCAACTGATTTTTGTATATTGATCTTGTACTCTGCCACTTTGCTGAATCTTCCAATGAGTTCCAATAATTTTCTTGTTGTGTCTTTGGGATTTTCTATGTATAAGATCATATCATCTGCAAATAAAAAGAGTTTTACTACCTTTTGCCAATTTGAATGCCCTTAACTTTCCTTTCTTGCCTTACAGCTGTGGCCAAGACTTCCAACACAATCTTGAATAGGAGAGGTGGTAAAGGGCATCCTTGTCTGGTTCCTGTTCACAAAGGAAATGCTTTCAGTTTCTCTCCATTGACAGTGATGTTGGTTTTGTATGTATATATACGCTCTTAATTATGTTGAGGAATTTCCCTTCAATTCCTACTTGTTGAGTATTTTTATCAAGAATGGGTGCTGGATTTTGCCAAATGCCTTTTCTGCATCAGTCAATATGATTATGTGATTCTTTTCCGTTTTTTAAATTTTTATGGTATATTACATTGTTGTTCTAATATTGAACCATCCTCTCATCGCTGGTATGAATTCCACTTGGTCATGATGTATTTATTATTTTTTGATCTGTTGTTGAATTATTTTTGCTAGGATTTTGTTGAGAATTTTTGCATCTATGTTCATGACGGATATTGGTCTATAATTTTCTCTGTTCACAATATCCTTGCCTGATTTTAGTATGACAGTTTTGCTTGCTTCATAAAATGTATTGGGGAGTTTTCCATCCTGTTCTATGTTTTGGAATAGTTTCAGTAAATTTGATGTCAACTCTTCTCTGAATGTTTGTTAAAATTCATCAGTAAACCTATCTGGGCCTGGACTATTTTTGTTGGGCGTTTTTAATGACCTGATCAATTTCTTTTTTTGTTAAAGGTTTGGCCAAGTATTCTACTTCACTCTGTGTTAGTTTAGGTAGGTTGTGTTTTTCTAAAGTCCTGTCCATTTCTTCCAAATTTTCAAATTTATTGGAGTACAAGTCTTCATAGTATTCTTTAAAAAAAAAAAAAAATGTATACTTTA